TGATTTTGGATTCATGAGCTCATCCGCACTGGCAAATAGGTATTCTGCAAGAATGGGTGATTCTCTCTGAGGAGCATTCAACGTTCCTGAAGACGACGACATGGACACGCAAGGATACACGTCCGGCTACATGTCTGAGGAAGAAGATGGCGGTTGGCAATACCGCGACAACGACTTGACATCGCGGGATATCATAAATACCCAGCGGATGGCGATTTGCCTTGATGAGCCGCGCGAAGCTCAATACATGGCGGGATTCATCGCGCTGCAGATGTCAAAGATGTGGGGGATGTTCGAAGGGGGTGAAAAGAGAACGATCGATGCCGCGCTCGAAGGGAAGCAAGGCTGTCCATACCACAACGACTTCAAGAAGTACCCCAACATTACGGAGATTGATCAGGAAGGGATCCTTTTGCCATCGACGGTACTGAAGATTTCTCAGTCTCAGAACGTTCGAGAAAGGGCCTTCCGGTCGGCTGAGGAGCGTGATGAATACATTCGTCTGATGGTATGCAAGTGCGAGGGGCTATACATATTTTACAAGCTGTGGATTGCAGCGAGAATCCTCGACATCACCAAAGACGAAATGAAGCTCCTGGTCAAGGATCGCGTGCACCCGGTGGGTGATATCATTTACAGATGCTTCTCCCTGGCTTTGAAACGGTAAATATATATCGTTCGTAAGGGAAGGCTTGAACCTTGGCAAACACGGTTATTCGGTCAATGTGAGCGCCATTATTGCAGCCACTGACCCGAACAAATGTGACACACCTCTGCTGGATTGGTGCCTACGAATGGGGCATTGGATACCAGAAGATCATCATAAGAAGTGTGTCCGGGCACGAGAAGCCCAAAAGAATTTGGACGAAGAGTTCCGTCGACGTACCCACAGACTGTCCATTGGAGACAGGTATGCGTAATGCAGATGTGGATTATTATTGCTTATACGGTGCGGTGCGCCCACCAACAGCAATACGTATATTCACTCCGATGTTGATTGCGGCACGATGTGGGCTAGTCCCCATCTATTGCTTGCGTCTCATCAATGTCATTGCGATGGAACGACTCTACATCATGATATGATTTCATGCGTCCAAGATGAATGGATGTGTATACATTTACATATTCCGACGGCTATGACATTCCGGATATTCATGGATGGAACTATTACCTCATGGATGATTTCCTTTTCATTATATATATTATTCATGGTACCTGGAATGGCTATGTTTTGCATGTATTGCTCACCAAATCTTCATTGCCGATGATATTCAGATGGCTCATGACCGTGCGCTACTATGGATTTCTATGGCCAACCCATTTCTGTGGATGACGGCTGCGCGATGCGCAAATGCGGCAGCCGGGATTTCAAGTGGTTGCGTACTGGCTAGAGGCAAAATGTCTCTTGCATCTGAGTATAGGAATGTGCTACGATTTGTGGATGCATGTTTCTGCCTTGATTGGACCTGGCAAGTTTCACAATGAATGGACGGTGTAGCAATAGTGAATGAAAGAGTGTTCGACACAGTTTCGTAGCTGAAGCCGTGGCCATTGGAACGTTTTGTGGTGTTTGGACCGCATGATGAACGATGCGACCCAAATGGGGGATGTTAAAACCCTCCTGGCCCCGTGCCTAAATTGGGAAGCAGTTCTGAGGTCCGTGTTTGTGTTGCTTACAAGGTTCCATTGATTGCCATCTTGGCTCAAGTCACAAGTGAGGTTCAAGATCTTATGTGAAGCTGCGTTCATACGTGATCGGCAATCGAGAGCGGAAAACACTACGCTTGCGCTGCATTTGTCAGGACCACTGTTGTAACTATTATTCCTTCTCCCTTACAACAGTTACACGGGTTCGGCTATAACGGTTTGACCGTATACACCTTTCTACGTGGTTGGTATTTACAGCTGGAGGGTTCGGTGGACAGCGTCCCACGGGACGTCACCTTGCCGTCTCTTGACATTATGTATATGTTGTAATGTATGTATGTATGTAATGTGTAGATGTACGTACATATGTACATATGTATGTATGTATGTATGTTTGTATGTATGTATGTATGTATGTAACGCAATGTAATGTAATGTAATGTATGTATGTAATGTAATGTATTGTTTTGCAATGTATGTATGTATGTAATGTAATGTAATGTCATGTATGTAATGTAATTTATTGTAATGTAATGTAATGTAATGTATTGTGATGAAATGTAATGTAGTGTAATGTAATGTAATGTGTGTATGTAGGTATGTGTGCATATATGTGGGTATGTATGTGTGTATGTATGTATCCATGTCTGTTTTTTGATGTAATGTGTTGCAATAAAACGCAATGTAATGTAATGTGGTGCAATGTATGTAATGTAATGTAATCTACTGTGCTGTAATGTAACGTGTGTATGGAATGTAATGCAGCGTAATGTAATGGAGTGGCACGGAACGGAATGGAATGTAATGTATGCATGTGTGTGTATGTATGCATGCATGAAATTATGTATGTATGCATACATGCATGTATGCATGTATGCGTGTATGCATGTGTGTATGTGTGTTTGCATGTATGTGTGTATGTTTGTATGTACGTATGTACGTACGCACGCATGCAAGTCGCCAAGACAGATTGCGCTAAGCTTTGAATTGCCTCTCCAAGCGAGGCCCCACATTGCCTGCATCTTGCTCTCACATGCGACTTCCAGCGCAACAAATACTGCCACGCAGCCGTTGCATCTCAAGATGCGCCGTTGCCGTGCGCGACTCTTTCTTACCCCCAGATGTAGTGTCCTCTGGTTCCTTCAGGGCGTTCCGTTTGCTAGCGGCGTGCTAGCTCGTCCCCGGCAAGCTCATTTCGAGCGTTCTGGATCGTTTTTTGCGATTTTCTTTTTGACCTGCCTCTGCTTGCTGTCCTAGGCCTACCCGTAGCCCTACACTAGGCCTGCCGACCCTGGCTCTCTTCAAGGCCTGTCGAACCCCATCACGTAGCCCTCTTCTGGGCTGGAGCCCTGTCTGTGTAGGACCAACGTAGAACCTTGTTGTCTATCAAAGGCCTACGGAACCCCATCCCTTCGGCCTTGGCAAGTGGCATGGGCCTACCAACGCCCTTGCCTACCCAAGGCCTACACCTCTCTGCCTACGCCCTCTCATAGGCCTATCAACCCCCTTGCCTGGACCGTCCTATAGGCCTACCAACCCTTGCCTGGACCCTACAAGATCTATGCCCGCCGAGGCAAGCAGCGGAATACTTGGAATCTTTGATACTGCAGGGCAGTTCGAGGTCCGAGCGTGAAAGGGCGATGATGCCCGTGACCCTTGGCCCGCAACATGAGGCCGAGCGTTTGCTGGCCAAAATGAAAATGGTAAACAAGGCCCGGTGATGAGCGCAGGAATTTGCGAGCTGGTCCGTCCGAACAAGACGCCGGCTTGAGCAGCTCAATAATGAAGCAATCCAGCAGAACAAATGCATCTTGGAGTGCGCCTCAGCATTGCCCCCCAGGCTCCGACACGCAATCGTTCGGTCCTGGAGATGACGCTGGCAACTCGGAGTGGTCCAGAGGTTCTCATGAAACATCTTGCCGATCACCTAGGGTTCCTCAGATGACGCGAGCAAAAATACTGGCCGCCGTCATACAGACAAACGTGGCGTTGGTGGACGTGACGAGCTCCTCCACGTCATGACCGCTGGCGTAACCCACCGCGACCCGCGCGGAGGGCACCGTGACCCGCCACGCGGCCGCGATGGACCTGTCGGACATGGCCACGCGACGAGCGTGAGAGGCAGGGCAACCGGCGCACGGTGATTTGCATCTTCCGGTGCTTCAAGCACTGCTGAGGCGCTCACCATTGCCCTGTACCGCTGTTCTTCCCGGACCGCCGTCTGTTCGGCGAGACGCTGTTTGTGCAAGCGCTCCCGGGTCGTAGTCCTTGTCTATTTTTGTTTCGTCATTTCGTTTAAACTTCCTACACAACTTGAGTCCAGGAGGCAGGATCCCTCTCCCAATGCTCGTCATTCATTTCTCCCACACGTGAGTTTGATAACACCCATTATCCTCTCCGCTAATTCGGCGTGGCGGCGGGGTCTTTATTTGGGCGCAGGTGATTCAGTTTGGCTCACCTCTGGGTTGCTTTGGTGTTTTGGTTGTCTTTATACCGCGGCGGTAACATCATCGTGAAACAACTCACAGTGCTGGCAGCTACCGGTGGTAGGTTGTGCCCTCATTCTCTACTTTTCTTCCAACTTTGCCAAGCCTATTTCTTACACTTGAGTTGTGTCACCTGTGTGTACTTCACGCGATTTGATTCCCTGAGCTATATCCTCTTCGCCCAAAACTGCAGTTTCTACAGAAACAATGCGGTGCAAATGTTAACGCGCAATTTGAAAAACATCTCCGTGTGAGTTGCCAGCTCACGGTCCTAGCCTGTCTATTCAGCACTGCGGCACGGCGTTGTTGTTTTTCTTTTTTCCGGTGCCAAAGAAACCAGGCAAGTGCACAAATGTGTGGGCCATTTTCGTTGACTCAGGCTCAGACATGGCTATGGTCCTTGCTTTCGGACCACAGGTTTGGATTGCTAACCTTAGCTCAACTCGAGCGCAACGACTCCCAACTTAGCCAACAGCCTACATCCAGCGACGTGTCAAGGCGTGTTGCATGCCGCTACGGAAGTCGGTGGGATTGCTTCCGTGCCCTGCCCTTGCCTGCGCGGACATGCAATGCAGCCATGTCGGGCCACGACGCCTGGCTGCAAGGGGCGTCGGTTGATGTTTTGATGCATGCAAGCAGCAAAGTTGCGAAGAGCGTCACAGGACAATCGCAGCGGTTTCCGTCCCTGTTGCGTTGCAGCATGGTGGCGCTCTCAGTTTGCAAGGCTTGCAGGAATAGCGTTAAGGAAGATGTAGATTTCACCCCCTGAACCGCTCCCTAGCCTAGTTCACTTGTCACCCCTGGGTCAACGGTGCTTCCGTGGGTTCCTTGAGAGGACGGTCAGGAGGGTCCAGTGACACAGTTCATGTTTGGCTCAAAGTGGAGGTGCAGGCTGTGCAGATACGGGGCTGGAGAGAAGGCCAGTGAAGGTTTTTCGGTCCTTGTTGCTGTGCAGTGCTGGGCTGTTTCTTTTGGCCGATGACCCGCAGCAAGTCCCTGTTCTTGGCCCACCTGGCGGAGATGGCGGAACTATTCGACGACATGAAACAACACATGCTGGCAGTGACCCAAGAGAGTTTCAGCCTTTCAGAGAAGGAGCGTAACATGCTGGTGGTGGCCTACAAGAATGCTCTCCATTCACGTCGCCATGCCTTGCAGATGATACCGAGAGAAGGCACCATGCCAGGCTACAACAGGGAGTATCGCACCCAAATTGAGCAGGAGCTGCGGTCCATTATCGACGAAATGCTCAGCTTGCTGGATGGCCTTATTCCGCATGCCGGCGGGGCTGAGGGCATCATATTTTATCAAAAGACCCAAGGAGATTACTACCGTTTCAAGTGTGAACTTGAGGAGGGCGAGGCGAAGCAGCGGGCGGCTGATATGGCGTTTCAAATTTACAGTCAGGCAGAGGTCCTTGCGGAACGAGAGATGCCAGTCACCAACCCGATGCGCTTGGCGATTGCATTGAACTTCTCTAATTTCATTGGTGACACCAACGTGCAAGCAGCCCGCAGGAAGGCACGGCGTTCCTATTCAGCAGCTTTGGCGAAGCTGGATGATCTGCGGGAGGACTTTCTTACTTTCTTGTGGTAATGGTGCCATTCTTTTTAATTCGTCAGGTGAAACGGCTAGGGCACGCCCTGATACGCAATCGGAGATTGCTACTGTGTCGCCCTAGGATCGAGGATGATGTTTGGCCGAATCGGGGTGGGATTTGGTTGTGGTCGGTTAAGGTTTTTTTTCTTCTTCCCCCCCCCCCCCCTTATTTTTTCCGGCACACTGTGGGCTGGTTTTGCAGTTTTTGGGGATGTTTGTAAGGTTTTGGGGATATTTGTAAGGTTTGCTTGAAAAAGGAACAAATTATTTTTTCGGTTTGTTTTGGCTGCCAAACCAGCACAGAACAATACACCACAGCAAGCCCGAGAGCTGTGAAGCTAATGGGGGAGAAACATGAAGTCACGCTAAGTCCCGCCCGATTCAGCCAAACATCCCCCTTTTTCAGAGCTCCGAAATAGCCAGAACCCTGCCCTGGAGCAAGATAAGAACAAAGTCCTAAGAGTCATAGCACTTAATCCCCAATCAAACCCAGCCAAAAGCAACCCGATAGTCCTTGACTAAGACAGTACAAGCCCAACCTCCAGACTGATAAACCGCCAGATCTCCTAAAGAAAGCCGGTGCCAGGGTTAGGAGCGTGTTCGCTAGTCTCAGTTCCGTGGCATGTGGAGCAGGACGAATACAGGGACACCACCCTCGTTCTGCAGCTGCTGCGTGACATTGCCCAGCCTCCTCTCTGGGGCGACACGGAGAACGAATGAGGGAAAAAAGCGGAGCGGGCATTGGGACAAGCGGCTTCGCTGCACGCGTGCAGCGTGAAGGAAGCTGCCAGCTGACTAAGGCGGCTGGTTGGAATTGCACCAGCTCTGACGATGTCACTGATCCTCGGCATTGCCTCCAGCACTTTGTACCATGGTGTGGCACTCAGCCATCCCGCTTTCTTGGCCATGAGGATTGTCTGCAGCGGTTGTGTGGGGTTGAGGCTGGATTATGCCAGTTGCTGCCTTGGCTAGTGAACTTGAATCGGTGCGAAAGCAACAATACTGATTAGGGTCCGGCAGTCAGCATTGATGACTCAAACCTTTGAGGTGGGTTTTTGGCAGCACGGAAAGGTGGAGCTGTCCTTCTTTTGTCCGAAACTCAGTATGGCGTGTGTCGATGTCTGGGCACGTCGGCGGTTGCTCCAGCTGAGGCCTTGAAGTGCTTTGCGTGCTCGTGCGCCCAGTGCTTTGTTTTCATTTGAGCGTTCCGTTGAATCACCAGATCAGCTACCTCACTGCTGTCCTTCGCGGCCCAGGCAAGGGAGAGCGGATAAGGAGCGCTCGAGAATTTCTGGACGCTGAGGCTTCGTGCGCCGTGGCTGGGAGCCCTCCAAGGAGGACATGCGTAAGCGAAGTGCGCATGGAGCGTCGACCTTGACCTTGGGAGATTTCACTCGCGCAGTTTGGCTTCAGGGCAGGCCCTGCCATGCTGGGCAGGTCGCGTGGGCCTGCCAGGTCAGGCCCGGGGCCAAAGTTGGGGGCGGCCGTCAGATTCAGAGAGAAGGCGTCCTGGGCATCCTTGGTGTGGGCGTCCCCGACGTTGGCGTTGGCTCGGAGGGTCTCGGCGATCCTGGTACCGAGGCTACGATGCACGGTCCGGGAGCGCGCGCGAGGAGCTCGGGCCCGTGCGCCCTCGTCGACCAATGCCAGGGCGATGGAGCTGGCGCAGGCGAAGGCGGAGCTGGAAACTGAGCAGGAGCTGTGGGCTGCGCGTTTGCCGGGGGATGGCGCTTACAGGTTGGGACAGGTGCCCGGCGTGTTGGATCTTTGCCTTCCAAGGAGCAAGGAACAGGGCATTTGTAACGTGGTCACAGAGGGCGACGACTCCCTCTTGCTCCTTGCTCCTGGCAAGACGCCAGAGCATCTGCCAGCCGTCGCCCAGGAATTCATGAGAGAGTTGGGAGGGTCCTTCGTACTACACAGGCTGACTCTGGGGTACGAGCAACTCACTTACAAGCAGGCCCTCAGCCGTTTGCTGCCCCCGTGGGTCAGCGTACCCAGCGGCTACGAGGTGGTGGGGCACATTGCTCACTTCAACCTGCAAGAGCAGCATTGGCCACATCGCACCTTGATCGGCCAAATCTGTTTGGAGAAGCGGGGGGTCAGGACTGTAGTGGCCAAGCTGGGGAAGGTCTCTAACCTGTTCCGGACCTTTGAAATGGAAGTCATTGCGGGTGAGGCTGACACATACGTCCGAATTCAAGAGCACGGCCTGCGGCTTCACTTTGACTTCCAGGAGGTCGCTTTGGCTGGACCAAAGGGGTCGGATCGTCCCATTTTTCGGCTTCTTTTTGCTTGTTTTTTTGTTTGTTCCGGCAAGTTTGTTTTGTTCCCCATGGGCACCCATGCGCTCATGCATTAATGTCATCAAAACGCGGAACCCGGGCGACTTCGAGACCTGAGCCGTTTCCTGACACCCAGTAGCAGCACACATGTCAATATGACACACCACTAAGCCCGGCGAAGGTGGGGGAAGTCTCAAAAGATATCAGAGCTATAGTTTGCAGAACTTTTTTTCCCCTTCTCTCTCCTTGACCTTCCCCGTCTCCTTTTTTATACTTTTCCCTCTCGCTCTAGCACTCTATCTCTCTTCTCGCTGTCTCTCTCGCTCTTCTCTTCTCTTCTCTTCTCTCCTCTCCTCTCCTCTCTCCTCTCTCCTCTCTCCTCTCTCCTCTCTCCTCTCCTCTCCTCTCCTCTCCTCTCCTCTCCTGTCCTCCCCTCCCCTCCCCTCCCCTCCTCTCCTCTCCTCTCCTCTGCCCTCCCCTCCCCTCCTCTCCTCTCCTCTCCTCTCCTCTCCTCTCCTCTCCTCTCCTCTCCTCTCCTCTCCTCTCCTCTCCTCTCCTCTCCTCTCCTCTCCTCTCCTCTCCTCCCTCTCTTCTTCTCCTCTCTTCTCTCCTCTCTCTCTCTTCTCTTTTCTAGGTGTCATGACCGTGGCCTACAAACAAGTAAATGAAGAAGACATGGGTCGCCATAGGTCTACTGGAACTCGCGGCTGGCGGCGGAGCGGGGGCACGTGGCAGCGGGCCTGGGCCACGGCGAGCTGCTGCTGGACCTCTGCTGCGGTGTCGGGGCGCTGGCGCTGCTCGCGGCCAGGCCCGGGCAAAACCCCCCGCCGGTTGAGCCGGTTGGGTCGGGACATGGACAGGACCGGAGAGGATGGCTTGTGCACTCTTCGGCTTGGGCCCAGGAAAGGCTGCCACGTCATTGCCAATGACTTGAATCCTGCCGCAGCGGAAGCTGTTGAGCGGAACGCCAAGCTGTGTCTCGGCAAGCATATTTGATTGGATGGGAAATGCAGCTGGTACATTGCAAGTCGCGCCATGAAAGCCGGCCTCTCGAAACGAAACAAACAAAGATGCAAACTGGTCAATGGTGACAGCCAGGAATCATGCCAATGTCCACGTCTTGTGTATGGACGCGCGGGAGTTGCTACCCATAGCTCTGCGGGGTGCTTGGGAGGAGCTTGCTGCCATTCCGGAAGTGCCTTTGGTCCACTTAGTCCTCAACCTACCCGAGACTGCCCTCGAGCTGTTCTCCGAAGCTCTGCCCCGCGTGAGCCAAGCTGGAGTCCTCTGCCGGGTGCATTGTTACGCCTTCGACTACAGCGAGCTGGCCTTGTCGGAAAGATTGGCTTCGTTATCGGTCAAGGCTGTGAGCATCCGCCGGGTGCGCTTCGTGTCACCCGCCAAGGCCATGTATTGCGTGGAGCTCGAGCTCCGGATCCCGAAGCCCCCAAAACTGCCGCGAAACGGCGCCAGAGGGGCGCCAAGCGGGGTGAGCATTTGGAGAGCACCGGTCCGTGGGTCCCTGGCCCGTCAGGAGCTCTCGCAGCTGCTGGCAGCTGAAGTGCCTCGACAGAAATGTAAGGCACCAGGCGTGCAGGCAAAGACAAGTGCACGGAGTGCGCGCAGGTAGGCACCTTTTTGTTTCCTCCATCTTTTGTCGCAAGTTGCAGTTTGAATCGGTCTTGCTTTCGTCATTCTTGCGACGCCCCGGCCAGGCGGGCAACGATTTGCCTCTCGACGCTGACGTGCCTGCCCACTGCTCAAGCCAAGGATGCCCTGTTTGGCCTGTCAATCTTGGCCATGTCTTGGGGTGCCAACGGAGCCAAGGTCAACGATTTGCTGCAGTGGTGCGCAAGCTGTAAGGGCTTCAAACCGCGGCGGGCTTAGCTTCGCTTGCAGCGTCATTTGGGTTAGGGATGCGGGGTTACACGGATTGACATGAATTTCCCTGGACATAGACATTGAGCAAGCAAGGCCCCGGGCACATCACTGCTCAACTTGCGGTCGGTGTGTGTTGAGGCAAGCCTTTGGCCTCATTTGCAGTTGCACCTAAAGCATGCTGTTGTCATTGCCATGTGTGTGGGTGTGCCAGCATGGATCACCACTGCCCTTGGACCAACACCTGCGTGGGTTGATGCCTCAGTTTATCCGTGACAGAGCCAGTGACCATTTCATGCTTCCCCCAGTGTAAGCCGCCGTGAGCGTGAGGCCAAATCAATCTCAAGCCCTTTGTGCAGTTTGTCCATTACGTGCCGTTGGCAACCTTCCACAGCGCCGGGTACTGGGCCATGCCTCAAGTTTGCCGCAAGTTGGTTTCGAGTGGCGCGCTGAGTTCATAGTGCACTCCGAGCTCCTCTATTTGCTCGTTTGGGTGTGTGGCTCAATCTGTTTGTGATTCAGCTTGCTAGATTGTGGCGCGTTTGAGGCATGGCAACGGGCAAGGAGGGGCAGAGATCTCTTGAAAGTAGTAATGCAGCTGCACATTGTGTCCGGAGCTCAGATCTTAAGCGTCCATCGCGTCCAACACTCTCCCGTGGTAGCCTTGCCGTTTTGGAGAGGCTGGGCCTGGTCGCGTGGTTCGCAGCGCTGGCAGTGTCTCAGCTCAATCGCTTGTGATTCATTAGGTTCACGCAGTTCAAACTTCAGTTGCAGGCGGTTTTTTTCTTATTTATTTCCAGGGACGGCCAGGTTTCGGCATGGTCTAGCTGAGCAGTTGGACGTTGTTGCAGTACCCCCGCGTTGCAGTTGCGTCAGCTGACCTGACAGATTGACGCAATTCGGTTGGCCCTTGCTGGGTGTCGTGAGTAGATTCTAGTGAAATTACACACCCGCCGACAGCCCGGGCTTGAGCATAGGAAATAGCGCTTTGTTCGAGTTTGGTAGCGGAGCGCCTTGCTTCGCCGTCTAGGCTACCGAGGCCAATCCGGCCGGCTGCGCCATTTCGCAGCCTCGGCGGCTTCGCCGCTGGTGCATGAGCATCTCGGAGGTGATCTTCACCTACGACGAGAATCGGCACCTCGCTCTCAAGGAGCTGGACGGTGCCTTCGTATCACCGCCTAAGAGCACGTGGCGGTTGGCGAGGTCTAGGCGGCGGAGACCGGGGACCGAGCCACAACCTTCGCTCACTGGAAGAAGAACCAAGCTGATCCACTTCGCCCTCTTGCTCTACAGCCTCATCGTGGCAGGCATGGCGATGCCCTCCGGCGGCGGAGGAATACCACTGACGGAGTTCCGGCGAGACCTTCCTCCTGGATGGGAACCAGGAGATCCGAACTACACGCTGACCACCTACTTCCAGCGACTTCGACTGTGGTATCGCCAGACGGAGGTGCCCGATGAGTGCGTGGGCCCCATCGTGGCCGGGAGGCTCGGGCCACGAGCTCAAAGAGTGGCCCTTGAGCTCAGGCTTGTCAGGCCTGACGGCCAGGTGGACGTGGGCGACGCGGCACTGGTTCGCCTGAGCGTGGACGAAGTCAGAGATCCGGCTGACCCCACGCAGATCCTCCAGCATGCAATCCCGAGCGGAGTGCAAGCACTTTGCAATGCGCTCCGAGCTGCTTTTGGCCAGTCGGATGAGCAGCTCCTCACGAAGGCGCTGGAAGCCTTCTTCGACTTCAAGAGGAAGAACGCCATGACGTTGCAGGAGTTCTCACTGGAGTGGGACTTGCGGTTTGAGGAGGCGCAGACGCGTGCAGGCCTGGACATGAACATGGTGGGTCGATCGTACCTCTGGCTGAAACAGAGCAACATGAGCCAGAAGTTCTGCGATGACCTCAAACTGCAGGTGCAGGGCGACATGTCCCGTTTCAATGACATCAGGGCCCTGGCACTGCGACTTGCTCACCAACACGCAGATGGACACAAGGGGGACATCTTCTATGGCGAGGACTCCCGCACCGAGGAGCACGAGATGGACCCCAACAGCGAGGACTACTTCGATTACCAGGCCGCTGACTCGATGTACTACTGGTACGATGGAGATGATTGGTGGAGTCCTGACCACGACTACCAGGACTACTTCGAGGACTACACTACCGAGGACTGGTGGTACGATGAGTCTGAGTGGCAGGGAGATGCAACTGCGGACCAAGCCACCTCATGGACGGCAGACTTCGACAAGCCCGACTCGGAGAACCAAGACCCAGAGAATGCGGAGGTCTATGGCAAGGGCTTCAACAAGGGCAAAGGCAACGCAGGCTGTTTTGTCTGCGGATCCCGTTGGCATCTCGCTGCAAATTGCCCGGCCAGAGAGTCCTTCGGCAAGGGCAAGGACAAGGGCAAGGACAAAGGCAAATGGAGGCCGAAAGGCAAGGGACGTGGCTACCGACCCAAAGGCAAGGGCAAGGGGAAGTCCAAGGGCAAGTTCAAGGGCAAGTATAGCGGCCCACGATACTACACCGAGACCAACGAGATGAACCAGGTGAGACATGCCCGAGAAGGACTTACGTTGACCACGTCATCCCCTTCCGGGCCACCACAGCCATCATCATTCAGACCTCACGCACCACCATCACGTGATCTGCCGCAGAACCAGAAGACCTCAAGCGTTGGTCAAGGAGAACACATGGAGGACCTCTTCGTTCGACCGCGACCACAACCACCATCCAGCTCGACAGACGCCGATGCCAGCGATTCCGCAAACAGAGGAGCCAAGAACCTCAGCTTCTCCTTCCACGTTGGCCTCTACAAGACCGAGGGCGACAGCGTCGATGAGGTCTACCACACAGTCGGCGGCCATCGCCGACGAGGACTCATCATCGACCCTGGAGCAGCCAACAGCCTGGTTGGCACGGAAACTCTGAGGGATCTGGTCGACCACTGCGACCAGTCCAGCGTCATCAAGACAAGCATGCAGTGGCAGGAGAAGCAAGCGGAGGTCACTGGCATCTCGGGCCAGTCAGACCCTATCTTGGGCCAGGTCACTATGCCACTCCCGATGTTCGAGGAACTGCGCGAGGCAACCTACACCGCGGACGTCATCGGGGGCAACGCCTCACTATGCCCTGCGCTGGTGGGGAACCCAGGTTTGGTAGGCATGAGAGCCGTGATAGCCTCTGCCTGGTTCCAGAACAACGACGGCCTGCTCATCTTACCCACGGACAAGGAGATGAAGACCTTCAGTCTCTATAGGCTGTTGTTGACGGACTCCAAGCACTATTTGCTGCCGGTCGACGGCAAGATGCATTCAGAGAATGAGGAGCACCGCAAGGCAGCCACCTTCCTCTCCAAAGTCCAGGAGCAGTCCGCGAAGAGATGGTCGGACACGAAGTACAGTGTCTGGCACTCTGATGGAAAGAGCCCAGGACGGAAGCGGAGTGAACCTCATGAACTACCATCTGGAAAGCAAGAGCACCTCTCCATCGTGGACGGCACGGACCTGGAACCCGAGGACTACTGGACGGTGGACTTCGGTGATGACGGACCGATCAGAGTCACAAGAGTCCATCGACGACCGAGGATGGCATTCTTCTTGCCCACGGACGTGGAGCTACCTCCAGGCGTAGAAGCCGATCTACTACAAGATGGGAGATCCACAGAAGTGCAGCCACGAGACGGTCAACCAGCACACGACGTCTTCGACAACTGGCGCACCAACAATCCCGTGAATCCCTTCACTTGGACCGGCTTCACGCACTTCACACTTCGAGAGGACACCACTCATGCAGCACCATCACCGGAACAGGAGTCACCTGACTCTCCACCGGAAGCAGTCCACAGCAACCCCAAGGACAACCAGCACGACCAGAACCACAAGGATTACCACCGCACTGCCCCAGATGAGTGCTACTTCAACTTGCCATCTGCTTACCCCGGAGATGACATACCTCACGAACTACCAGCACAGAAGCAGCAGCAACTTCGGAGGCAGTACAAGTTGATGCCAGAGGAGTACTACCAGCACACCGGGAAGCGAGTCATCAAGCCCGACAACTACCACCAGTGGGCGAGCTCTCGCTCACGCAAGAAGTGCAACTTCTGGGAGATCTGCTCAGGAAGTTCGCGGCTCTCCTTGTTGGCCCTCATCAGCGGGCTGATGGTTGCGTTCCCAGTAGACCTCAGATATGGCTGGGACATTGGCAACAAGCACCATCAGGAACTGCTACTACACGCTCAAGACCTGATCGATCCCGACGTGATCCTTATGTCGCCCAACTGCAGGCCTTGGTCTATCTCGGCCAATCGGAAGAAGCCAGAGGACCGTGATCGAGATCGAGGAGAAGAATTTGAGTCTCTGTGTTTTCTTCTTCGGATGGCCGAACGGCAGGCAGACAAGGGGAAAGCCTTCATCCTGGAGCAGCCCTTCTCTTCGGCTATGTGGACGCTCTCGCCTATGGCAAGGTTGAGAGACATTGAGGGATGTCGGTCAAGGCAGCGGGTTGACCAATGCATGCATGGAGCCTGCGATGAGAACCGCATCCCCATTATGAAGCCGACCGGACTGCAAGCCAACATGGCGCTGCGCAACTCGTGCAAGCGATGCCAAGGAAGACATCGCGATCACTCTCAACTTCAAGGATCAGACCACCTCGGCCGGCAGCGCACCATCATGGCGGCGGTCTACCCCCGGGGCTTCTGCAAGGCCATCATAGCCGACATCAAGAAGTTCATCGGCAAACCCAGTCGAGGACATGAGGACTACCATATCTACTACAAGTGCGACAAGTGCCGACTGGGCAGAGAAGCTCCTCCAGGGACCGAGCACAGTCTGGTGCCCAGAGAGTGCCGGCATGCATCCTCACTGCCTACACCGGGGACCTCATCGGCCAAGGTCTCCAGGAATGTCACCACTACACTTCCAGACCTCATGGAGCAGTTCAAGAGGGAAGCCATGCGGCATCCTACGATCCATGACGTCAAGCTCACCATGGATTATGAGATGCCGGCGATCGACACGCTCATGCTGAAACTGCTCTTCCTGAAGGTAGTGGAGGAAGGCGTGAACATCATTGAGGCCCACAAGCAGAAGTACCGGCACTGGACGGAGGATCCGGTCTACTTGGCCATCGCTCGCAAGATCTTCAAGAAGGTCCTGGATGTGAAGGGCATCTGCTGCACCCTTCACGACGACGAGATCCCTGTTCCAATGCCGTACCTTCGCACGGCATCTGCACCGCTGCGGTTGGTCTTCAAGGGCGACGTCAAGTGCTGGACTGCCCTCACCTTGGAGGACATCAGAACGCTCAGCCAACCGCGAACCAAGATCATGCACGATGGCTGGCTGATAGCCCTCTTTGGATCTGCTCCGAATGATCAAGATCACTGGGAGATCGACGAGGCTGCTGGCATACTACGGAGGCACCACGTCAAGGCGCGCCTAGACATGTTTGTGCCCACCAGCATTGCCTGCCCGATCCCCACGGAGCAGCTCGCGGAAGAGAGACGAACCGTCGCAGACCCCTACGACAAGGCGGGCTCGAAGCTGGTGATCTCCGACACCTGGACACGCAGGGACAGCTATCGCCACCTCATGGGCGAAGACCGATGGACCGGAGTTACCGAGTTCAAGGTAGTCCAGGAGAAGGCCGATGAAGAGGAGATCACGGACCCGGTACAGCGCCTGGCGGAGGAATCGGAGAAGCAACAGGCTCAGGAGGAGGAAGAAGATACTACCATGGACATCGCAGAGGGTGACTCGGACCAGGGCGTCATCAGAGCACCCATGAATCCACTCTACGACTTCAGGCGAGTTCTTCACCGGCTTCCGCGACTTGCCGAGCATGACCATCTACAGGCCGAAAGGCTACTTCTCGGCCTTCACGAAAGATTCTGGCACGCGGGAGTTGGCGACATGACGAACCTGCTGATCAGAGCCGGCATGCCCAAGTCAGTGATCGGCATGATCTCCAAATCAGTGGCACAATGCAAGGTTTGCAACCGGTTCACACGGTTGCCCAACCGACCACAGGTCAAGACGGGCCACGTGACTACGTTCAACCAGGAGATCCAGGTGGACTTCTTCTTTCTCTGGGAGAACACGTTCATGCTGATCATCGACGTGGCCACCCGGTACAAGACAGCAGTCAGAGTCACGAGCCGGGAGCTGCGTCCTACTTTGAGGACGCTGATGACCAACTGGTTCAGATGGTTTGGACCTCCAAGGACCATCACCTGTGACCAGGAATCTTGCCTCATGAGTCACGAGGCAGGCGCTGAGATGGAGCGACTCAACATCCGACGGAACCCTTCCGGAACTACGAAGGGAACCGCCTCATCTCAGAAGACAGCAACCGGACTGGTCGAGAAGCATGTGGACCTGACGAAGCTGGTCATGCTGAAGACCAAGGCAGAGCTCGAGAGACAGGTCGCCGAGGTGGACTACGGCGACATTGCCATGGAAGCCGCCATGGCGCAGAACCTGACCCTCAACCTTGGTGGGTACACTCCACACATGTGCGTCACAGGCGCACTGCCTTTTCCGTTCTACGACGTGGACTCTGTGGGACTGCAATCTGTCCACGGCACCACAGATCAGATGGCCATCTCCGTCTACGAGCAAGCACTACGACTCAGGCAGGCAGCGCTCACCGCAGCCACGCAGAGCATCATGGAGTCACGACTGGTGCGGGCTGGACGCACGAGACCTCAGCAAGTACCTGTCGGAAAGCTGAAGCCAGGCATCTCCGAAGTGGAGTTCCACCGCGAAGGCATGGATGACTTCGGCTGGCGAGGACCGGCTACGCTCCTCAAGATTGGGGACGGCAACGCGATCATCGAGTACCAGGGGAAACCATACCTCATTCCTCTTCGGTGTCTACGGCACTTCCGTGGAGTCTTCTTCGTTGACGAGTTGGAGGACCAGCAGAAAGAGATGGACTCCTGGAGAGCGCTGAGGAGGATCATGAAGTACGTGGAGAACCTGAGTCCCTACAAGGAGCACACTCTCGGCTACATCAACCACCACAACAAGTGGATCCAGATGCCCCGCGACATGGTGAACTCGGAACGCGAGAACCTTCTCAGCGACATCCAGATGGCGTCCAAGTTTGTCATGGATGACCAGTGTCACGGGATGCGAGCAGGAGTTGGGTTGAAGAAGCTGAATACGCCCGGCAACACCCAGGGCGTGTTGATCTGCTGGCCGAAGAACACAAATCGGCTCACGTTCCTTGAGAACCCCAACAGCAAGACCATGATCGTCAAGAAGCTCTCTAGCATGCATAGAGACGACGTGTGCATGCTCTACCTGTATCACTACGGCGACAAGCAGTTGGAGGAGGAACCACGCAGTCAACCACCACCACATCAACCTCAACCACCAGCAAGCATGGATGTGGACAATCAAGGTGCCGGACGAGCGGACAAGAGGTCTGGCACAGACACCAGGACAGTCACTTTTGGACCGGAGGCGAAGAAGCAGAAGTACGCCTACACTGACTATGGTGATCGAGTGCAAGAGGCATTTCTATCAATGCACCAGAGACGCTGGGAAACACAGCTACCTGCGGAAGAACCATCAGGAGATGAAGCCTCACCTTGCACTACCACCACAAATCCACCACAACAGGAGACGCCTAACTACACCACCGAGCACACCTTGACAGCCACCAACCTCTTCACCATGCACGGCACTAACGCCGACAAGTACTACGCGGACATCCGCAAGGGCGGCATCTTCAGAGTCGACACAAGCACCGACTCGATCCATGAAGACCAGGTGTACGGAATCTGGGATCAAGTGGATGCCGCGGACAAGAAAGAGGTTTCGCAATTCCTTCAGGAGAAAGCCTTCAAGAAGGTGAAGCGCTCAGATCTTGGCAAGGACGCCATACTGATCGACGCGATATGGGTGAGAAAATGGAAGAAGCAAGAGGCTTCTCGGGTGGTGAAGTCACGGCTTTGTGCTCGAGGATGCCACGACCCCTTCAAGCAGGAGATGTCGAACAGGAGCACGACGGCCACTCGACTCTCGCAACGGCTTCTGGTTATCACTGCCACAAACAAGCGGGAGCCCATCGAGAGTTGGGACGTGGCTGGAGCGTTTCTGAAGGGACTGACCTACGACAAGCTCTACAAGCGCCTCAAGGAGCTGGGCATCAAGACAGTTGAAAGGGTAGTTGCCATTGTGGTGCCAGCAAATGTTTGGAGACACCTCGGGGAGATGGACCGGGAGTTCTACCTGAAGCCAGGTGAGGAGGACGAGTACGCTCTCATCTGCCTGAAACCGGTTTATGGACTCTCAGAGGCCCCACTGGCATGGCAACTCTACCTGCATCAGTGCCTGGCGGAGATGGGCGCGGTTCAGAGCGTCTTCGACGAGAACTACTGGGTCTGGCGACAGCCTCAACGGGATGACTCAATCATCCAATGGCCAGTCGCTAGCATCACGACTCACGTGGACGATCTGGCGGCGACCGCAGGTCAGAAGTGGCTGGACACCATGTATGCACGCATGGTGGCGAAGTTCGGGAAGCTATCAAGGCAAGTTCTCCCTTTCGCTCATTGTGGATGCACCTACTCGCGCATCGCTGACGGCTACAAGATCGACCAAACAGACTACGTCAAGATGCTGAAGGCGCCAGAGATCGAGAAGGAGATCGCCGACGACCATCCTCATCCTCTCAACCCGCAGCAGGTCACACAGCTGCGATCTGTCGTTGGTGGATTGATGTGGGCATGTGTGACACGCCCTGACATCATGGCTGAGCTGGCGCAATTGCAGGGCATCGTCACAAGGGCATGTGGACGTCACCTACATCAAGCCAAGGCCCTGGTGAAGCGAGCACAAGCTGACGCAGAAGCTTGCCTTATCTACCTACCTCTACCACGGTGTTAAAACCCTCTAGGCCCCGTGCCGAAATTGGGTAGCAGTTCTGAGGTCCTTGTTGGTGTTGCTTCCCAAGTTCCATTGATCGCCATTTGGCTCAAGACACATTTGAGGTTCAAGATCCGATGTGTGACTGCGGATCTCCGTGATTGGCACAAAGAGCAAAACAACCGCTTGCGCCGCAGGGTCAGGACTACTGCTGTGATTATCATTCCTTCTTCCTTACAACGTTTACACGGGTTCGGCTATAACGGCATCGTCCGTATACACCTTTCTACGTGGTTGGTATTACAGCTTGAGGGTTCGGTGCACAGCGTCCCACGGGACGTCACCTTGCCGTCTCTTGACAGGTTATCAGCCGTACTACAAGCTCTACACTGGACTGGGAGACAGCTGGTTTATTGCGGGTACAGGGACAATAAAGGAACGATAACTACACAGTACAATGGCGTCTTCGGCGAGCCCAAGTACTGCAACTTTTGGGAACAGCAGCTCAGAGGGATCCAATGGATTGATGGCTCTTCCTGCGGTGATGGATATGATGCAGATTCACAGGATGAACCTGGGAGCGGAGGTTCCGCGCTATTCAGCGACATATCTACTCCCACAAGATCATGGAAGCAGATCGATGTTCATCAGGAGTCGAAGAAAAGAGAATCCCCACCGAGAAGATCATCATCTTCGCCTGCGACACCACGGACGTCGCAGAAGGGCGTGAGATCGACATCGAAGGGTGGGAGGTCAAAATCACCCACCAGTGCAGATTTTCGCGCCGTGATCAAAGAGAAGAATAAGATGGAGGTGGAGATCGGGGAATATCAGAAGACACTTGATGAAATGTCGGCAGCAATGGCGAATCTTAACCAAGAAGACTATGGAAGCACCATCCGGATCCAGGAGCTGGAAAGACGATGCGAGATTGCCAGCAAGCAGTCGGGACATCTAGTGAGTCACCACCAACACCACATGGCTGAGGCATGGCGCAAGTTTGAGGAAGAAGCCCAACAGATGCGCAAGGTGGAAATGAACGCATTTCAGTACGGGGAGAAGAAAGACATGGAGTCGAATATTATGATGCAACAGATGAGGCAAGCTGAAGGAACTATCATGGAGCAGAAGCGGGAGATTGCATTGATGAGATCCTACATGGCAAGCGAGAAGTCGGCCGCGCAGGAATCAGCTATACGTGCAAATCAGATACACCGTGAGGCTTCACAACAGATATCAGCCTATCAGCAACAGATCAGAGGCATAGAATCTTCTACATCTATCGAGAAGTTCAATGAGGAGGAGATGGTCCAAAGTCTGAAATCACAGTTGGAGCACGCACTCGTCAAGCGCCCCGAGACGTACTCTTTGGAGGACTCCAGGGAACAACTGATGACGAGGCTGAATGACGTTACAGTATTTGCGGAACAGGAATCGAAGAGAGCAGATTGCTTGCTTCGTGAAAAAGAAGAGATCGTCAAACAGTATGAGTCCGACGTGTCGATGAAGGACCAGATGATTGCTGTCGAAGGTGGTCATCGTCAGGATGCGATCTTGGAGTTAGCCCAGGTCAAAGAAGAGAAACAAGAGGAACGGTGCACGATGGACGAGAAGTCGAAGGAGGCTGAGTACTGGAGATTGACAGCTAAGGGAATGTACGATGAGTACCTCGAGGAGATGCATGAGCTTCAGGGACAACTGAAGGAAAGAGAGGCGACGCTCAAGCAAGAAGAGAGTTTTGTACGCCAACTCGATGCTGACAACGAGGAACTACGTGCACACAAGAAGCTGGAGACACAGGAAGCCTCCAGCAGCAAAGATGGACATCGTGAACGAGCAGTAGTGAAACGCGCTGAGGGAGGAACCCAGGCTAATTCAGGTAGGATAGACAAGAAGGTGGCTGGGTTAATCCCGTCATCGTCTTCGAAACAAATCCCTAATTCGTCGCTGATGCCAGGTTCGATCCTCTTTCCGTCTTTCGGTGATCCAATGATCGATGTACACCTATCCCAGATGCAAGGGGTTGTTGGGCATGTCCCACAATCCACTACTACGACTGGTGGTGGTGATGGAGGGGGGAAACAACGGTACTACGCCCCCATTGGATTACGGTGGATTCCCGCCCAATGGGAATGGGCAGGGAGCGGGTCGACGTCAGTTGAGCCTCGCTGGTGGCGGAGGAGGACCTCCGGATGATCCACCCGATGATGAGGATGAGGATGACGACGACGAAGGAGATGAGGAAGACGAGGAAGAAGAAGAGGAAGAAGACGATCGGACACGGAGGAGACGAAGGAGATCGAGAGATAACCGAGAGATCAAGAATGATCGACCGAGAATCTCGAGGAAAGAGGCCGAGAGAGTATCTATTCCGGCCTGGCCAAAGATCCATCAACTTGACACCTGGAAGATGCAACTGCTGATGAATGTTCTGAGCGCATGTGCAGATCCAGATACCGACACATGGACGAAATGGCTGGAGCAGGCTCTTGGGTTGAACCCAGACCTGGATTTGCTTAGCGATTCAGGTGGCGACAGATTTGCTACGATAGATATTAAGATGGCCATGGGCATGCAGAACATGCTGAAACAAGCACCTGACGAAGCCAAGGACGTATACCTCGATGCTACACGACACTCTGAACTACGACATCAACAAGGGGTGATCGTGAAGGGACGAGAGTTGGTGGCATTAGTTATGCAATCATTCAGAACTTCCGATAGAACGGATCTTGTCTACCACATCGAGCATTTATTCAACCTTGACTTTCCTGGCGACAAGAACTTGGTCATGTTCAGGAACAAATGGTATGATTTGCTGCTGAAGATGAGGAGCGAGGACAGACCCAGTAAGCTGGCTCTCAGAGACATCCTTTACAGGAAGATCAAAGGGAGCAAGAAGATGGAGTTCGGCCTCAATGCCTACCATAGACTACCGGACAAGCATCCTCAGAAGACGTATGAATTCTTATTGGCGTTGATCGACTATCAGATCAAGGCAGATCGGGAAGACCTGATGCTCGACATGAAGGAGAAATCGGTCAAGTCGATGATGAAGTCAGGCGGGAAGGATGCGGCTCCAGCAACTGGCAAACAGGAGAACCAGGGTGGCAAGGGCAGAAAGGGGAAACCCGGTGGACCTGACGCCGCTCCTGTGCTCCCAAAAGCCAAAGCAAAGGGCCACGCTGGCAAGAACGGCAAGTCCGACGGTGCCGGCGACAGAGGCAAGAGTCCGGGCGGAAGCAAGGATAACCCCTGTTGGTACCACTTCAAATCGGCGAAGGGGTGCGTGAAAGGGAATGAATGCACTTTTTCCCACAGCAAGAAGACGGAGCACAAGTTGGAGAGTATGTCCAAGGGGAAAGGAAAGGGCAAATCCAAATCCAGATCATCGTCACCAAAGAGAGATGATGGAGCATGCTTCGCGTTTCAGAAGGGGAAGTGCGATAGGGGGAGCGCTTGTAAGTACAGACATGAGCTCATCAAGAACAATTCAGCTCCAGCAACGTCAAGTGACAAGACACAAGCCAAGTCGAAGGCTGCCGCCAAAGCCGCAGCGCCTGCCATTGTGAGGAGGGCCATCGCGATGCCTGCGATAGTCCTGAAGCAATCGGCTCCTGCGGGGACGGTAAGCTTCAAGAAGGACGTTGATCATGTCGAACCGGACGAAGCCGAGACTATCTACCACGAGCACGATGACGACGTGATGAGCGAATCATCGAGATGGTCAGGCGAGTCCGAGATCCCCGAGAAAATGGTGTGGTTCAAGGAAGTGCTCGACGTCGACGAGAATGGGGAGATCACCTACCTCGAAGACGAGAGAAGGCAATGGGAACGAAAAGGAGAATGGTACGGTTATGAGGACAATGAGAATGAGCCTTATCAGTACGTGTACGTCGACGAGAAGAAGTTCAAAAGCAGTGATCATCGTGAATTATCAGCCTACCAAGTCCAACGATCATTGATACGTGCGAAGATACTGAGAGAAGTGGTGGATGATGTATATAAGAAGCACTACTTCCCGGTGACCAAGGAGAGCAGCATAATGTTCGAGTATGATCGGAACAAGGACGAGATCAAGGAATCGGCTGTCGACTGGAAGAAACAGCATGGTATGCCGAAGAACGTTTTCGCCATGTCAACGTGCATCAGCAAACGGGTGAAATGGTTGATGGACACCGGATGTGGTCATGATCTCATCGGAAGAGCCAAGGCGAAGAGCCTGGGTGTCGACATCGTGAAAGATGACGACGAGATCGTGTTCCAGACCGCGAATGGTTCCACTTCCACATCTGATGTGGCCAAGATAGTCGTGGACGAGTTGGACGAGACTGTCGAGCCGCATGTATTGGATGAGACACCCACGGTATTGTCAGTGGGGAGGAGATGCATGAAGATGGGTTATGCATTTCACTGGATGCCTGGTAAACTACCTTTCATGGTTACGCCAAAGCAGGGATTCGTGCACTTGCAGGTCAAGGACGACATCCCGTACCTAGTGAGTGATGGTAAGCTTCGGAGTAACAGGCATCGCCCTACGATAGACGACCTCAAGGAGCACTTTTCGGAAGTATTGGCGATGGTAACGAACGACGAGGCAGATCAGGGGGGTGACGATGAGAACGACGTCACACCCGCCGCTGTCGGTGAGTCCGCAGAGGCCGAGGGCGAACACCACGACGGGGCATTCGACTTCGGGCCACCGGAGGAGCCGGTCCGGTACGTCCGCCTCCCGTGGCTGAGGAAATACCTGTAGATGTTGGGTCAGTCCCGCATCGACATGGTGATGCCGAAGCTCACGAGGAAGAGGTTGATGAGGATGATCCAGATGCCGGAATCGAAGTAGACGTGTACGAAGGATCATCAATAAAGAGGAAAGTGGGAGTCCTCAAGAAGGACGCCAATTCCATAGCTCATTTGCTTACACACAGATACCGAAATCCCTTCTGCGAATCATGCGTCAAGGCAAAGATGAGACACTTCAGATCGAGAACGGGAGCATTCAAAAGAGAAG